TTTGCTCTGCCTGAATAACTTCTTTAGTGTTTGCTTTAGTTTATATCTGCTAGCAAAGAACCTCTCAGTTTTTATTAGAGTTTAAATGCATTTATTTCATATTTTTAAAGAATTTTGGACAGTGATTTAGAATCTAGGTTGGCAGCTATTTTCCCCCAGCACTTTGAAGGTGGCATTTCGTTGTTTTCTGCTTTCCATCGAGAAATTATCTCCAAGCCTTACTGTTCCTTTGAGAGTATCTGTATTTTTTCTCACTTGTCTGTTTTTAAAATTTTCTCTTTGTCTTTGATTTTCAAGAAAATCACAATTATGCTTAATATGTCTGGGTGGTATTTTTATATTTATCCTGCTTAGTGTTTGCAGCATTTTTAAAACCAGGTTTGGTGCCCTTTTTTCAGTTTTAGAGAAGTTAGAGCTAACATCTCTTTACATATTGCTTCTGCTTCTTTCTGTTCTATATCTGGTATTCCCATACATGTATATGACCTTTCCACTGTGTTTCATGTGTTTCTTATGCTTTTTTCTTTTCTTTTTCCAGAATTGGTTTCTTTTTTTTATTATTATTGCTTTAAGTATTACAAAGGGTATTACATATGTGTCCATTTTTTCCCCCCGCCCTAGACAGTCCCCTAGCCTCACCTATCCCCCAGTGTCTTATGTTCATTGGTTATGCTTATATGCATGCAAACAAGTCCTTTGGTTGATCTCTTACCCCCCTACCTCCTGCTCCCCAACCCTCCCCGGCCTTCCCGCTGCAGTTTGACAATCTGTTTGAGGCAGCTCTGCCTCTGTATCTATTATTGTTCAAAAGTTTATAATGGTCTCTATTATCCATGAATGAGTGAGATCATGTGGTATTTTTCCTTCATTGACTGGCTTATTTCACTTTTTTTAATATTATTTTAGAGAGAGGAAGAGATAGAGAGAAAGAGAAACATCCATGTGCGAGAGATACATAGATTGGCTGCTCCCCTACACGCCCCCAAACAAGCCCGAATCCTGGGCATGTGCCCCACCTGGGAATACAACCTGCCACCTTCCGGTGTACAGGATGACACTACAACCAATTGAGCCACACTGGCCAGGGCACTTCTGTTTTTTCTTGTTAATTTCTTTTTTCTGTTTGTTATTCAGTTGGATTATTTTGTGCTGGTCCCTTTTCTACTCACTAATTCTTTTTTCATGTGTGTCATTCTTTATTAATCCCATTTGATAAATTCTTAATCTCAATAACTATAACTTGGGGGTCATTTTTAATTTGATAATTTCCATTTGGTTTATTTTTAAAGGTTTCAGTACTCTGCTGAAATTCTTTACCTGGTCATCTAATTTCTTAGTCATATTAATTATAGTTTTGTTAAAGATTGTGTCTGTTAATTCCAATGCCTAGATCTTTTGTGGGTCAGTTTTTTTCTTGGTTTTGGTCATATCTCCTGGTATTCCCAGTTTGTTTGTTTGATTGCCAGGCATTATGAATTTTAAAATGTGCGGGTAATTTGAGTATTTAGATCAGTGGTTCTCAACCTTCTGGCCCTTTAAATACAGTTCCTCATGTTGTGACCCAACCATAAAATTATTTTCATTGCTACTTCATAACTGTAATGTTGCTACTGTTATGAATCATAATGTAAATATCTGATATGCAGGAGGGTCTTAGGCGACCCCTGTGAAAGGGTCGTTCGATTGCCAAATGGGTCACGAACCACAGGTTGGGAACCACTGGTTTAGATGATGATGTTTTCCTTCAGAAATTACATACTTCTGCTTCTGGCCCGCAGTTGCCAGGGACTGAGGAGACTGAAATTGGGCTTTAGTTTCTGTGAGGACCGAGTGCTTTGTTCACTCACACTTCTAACATATAACCACCTGACAGGGCCCATTGGGGTTTAGGCTCAGCATCTCAACCTCTCACTTGTCACTGTCTTTTCAGTTTCTGATCCTATAAGGCACTGTTTGTGAATTGGCAAATGTCTGAAGAAGATAAATGGTGCCAAACATGGGGTTAATCTCACATCCTTCTCTTCTCTCCAGTAGTTGAGCCCCGCAAGTCCTGGCTGACTTGATTACTCTCCAATGCTTCTAAAAAGATAAAGCTTTAAAAACAATTTTCCCATCTTTTGCAGTTGGTCTCAGTAGGTTGGTCTGTGATCAGCTATTCTGCCATTACCAAAAGCAGAAATATTAATGGAGGTTCTTGCGACCTTATAGTAATTGAAGGATTCAATATCAGTTCATTCATTCTTTCAACAAGCATTCCCTGAGAATCATATGTCAGGCACCAGGCGAGGTGTTAATAATACAGTGATTAAAACAAACCACATCTGAAAATAAATCTCTCAATTTCCCTGCCTTTAAGACACTCACCATGACCTGGAAGAAGCAAACCAGTACAAAGAAAAATAATTTTAGAAACTAATAATTCTCTTATAAATATTTAAAGGGTCATATGGGAGCACATCAGAGGGAATGGTGTTGGACAGGAAAGAAGAGACCATGAAAGACTCAACAAAGTTTATCAACTGATCTCGATCTTGAAATATGAGCAGAGCGAACAAAGGCATGAAGGCACAGAAAGTATTCAGTCAGGGTCAGAAAATAATTTGAGTTTTGTGAAAACGGAAACTGGATTTGATGGGATGTGATGATAAGAGGGATCATGAGTAATCAGACTGGTAGTCATATTAGAAGCAGACCCTTGTGCCATGCTGTGGAATCTGAGCATTATTCCTCCGGTACTGAGGAGCCATTAAACGGCCCCTCTTTCTCTGACACAGAAAGAAAGCAATGAAGGCGGACACAGGAGCAAATGAGTTTGAAGTTATAGGACTTACTGAAGTTGTTGAGGGGCTCTATTCTAGGTGGTCTTTATTTTTCAATGAAAAAGAAAGCTGAGACATTGGCTAATCATAGCAGAGATGTGCCAGAAATTTGAGATAAAATAATAAATATTTTAAACAATTCCTGTGTTATTATGTTAGATGGGAAGGAGAACCTACTCAAGATAAACAAATGTGTTGGTGACTGCAGAAGTTAACTATACTCATCCTAGTCCTTCGTCACTGTTCTGATTCCACATGAGCAATTGTCACTCAGAGTAGCTTTCAAAACGGCGCTGAAGGAATTGAAACAGAGCAGAGCCCCCTTCCCGCAGCGTAGGGATTTGGAATGCAGTGTCTAAAATTCCAGGCTCCATGGCCAGGCGAACCTGATTTCAAAACCTCTTGGTTTTGAACTAAGGCCACTTATCATGTGGCATTGGACATACTTCCTATCTCTGAACTGCAATTTCCAAATTATACGAAATGGATATAATAAAAATGACTTTGTGGGATCATCATGATGGTTAAATGAGCTGTGTCTGGCAAAACATCGACTCCAGTACCTATCACAGAACTGGCTTCAATAAGTAGTCACTGTTGTCATTGTAAGTTGTTATTCATGCCATATTTTTGTCTGTTCTCCTTAAAGGGCATTCTCTTCTCCTCGGTGGAGTGTGTAAAATCCGCACGGGACCTGGTAAAGCTCTATCTGCACGAATCAAATCGTGTTTACCGGGATAAGATGGTGGAGGAAAAGGACTTTGTTCTTTTTGATAAAATCCAGACAGAAGTGGTTAAGAAAATTTTTGATGTGAGTATTGCACTGTGAATTCTTTCTACATTTAAAAATAATGATAGTTGTGCAGACTATCACCCAAATTATAAAAATACATAAATTAGAGAAAATAAGAGATTAGTAAAAGAAAGAAAAGTCTATCATTATTTTGCAGAGCTGAAAAGTGTTGAGGCAAGAAGAGACAAATTAGGCATAGGATCTGAATGTTGAGAAGGTATGTGGACATCCACTAATCCAAACCCGCCTTTAGTAGTAACTCCCCTCAGTGTCGTTTCCCAGGTTAGTCATCCCAGTTCATGCACCAGCGTCCTCGGAAATGCACAATCTCAGCTTTCCCAGGGCAGCCATCTGGGAACTGGAGATGACTGGAAATTTAGAACAATTTTGAAATTTGGGATCTTTGGAACAATTATAAAAACTGGAAATTTATTCTAATCATGATTTAAAATTTATTTTCCTGTCTATTAATCCTAGGTTTACCTTCAAATCTTTAAAGACCATTTATCTTGCCCTTCCTAGGTCTTTTCTTCTCCGAGCTAAATAGCCTCTGCTCTTTTAACCATTTTTGACAAGGCTTGTTTTCATACCCAGAGTAGTTGGCATCATCTTGATTATTCTCCCATCCATGTTCTCCTCTAAAATCATGGTGCCTGACTCACCACACAGCCCAACTGTGTCTGACCAAAAGCAAGATCACCATTCCCCTTTTCTTATCCTATCTAATAATAGACAACATGGTAATTGACCGTACCTTTGCTATGCCTCCCATTGGCTAATCAGCGAGATATGCAAATTAACCCAACCAGGATGGCAGCCAGCAGCCACGCAGCTGAAGCGAGCAGGAGACTTGCTTGCTCCAGTGATGGAGGAAGCCAAGGTTCCCAACCTGCTGCGGCACAGCTCTGACCTCCGAAAGCAACAAAGTTTCAATTATAGAAGCTAAACAAACCCCAGATACCTGTTTTCAGCAGGCCGTGGCCTCAGAACTGGAGTGAGCAGGAGCCCGGCTCTCAGCTCCAGTGACGGCAACAAAGTTTCTATTATAGAAGGTAAATAAGCACCAGAATAAAAAGAAAAAAGAAAAAAAGGAGAGGCTGTGAGCTTTAGTCGCCAGCCAGCCTGTAAACGGCCCTCAGTCCCTCACGCCGATTGGCCAGGCACCCATTGGGGACCCCCACCCTAAAGGGGGTGTGGCCAGCCTGAAAACAGCCATCAGCTCCTCATCCAGGCTGGCCAGGCACCCTAGCGG